GGGTGGAGGACGGGTTGGTGGCGCTGCAGGCGGCCACGGGGCTGCCGTGGTGGGCCGCCATCGTGGGCGGCGCCGCCCTGCTCCGCACCGCCGTCACCTTGCCGCTGGCCGCGCACCAGGGCCGCCTCCTGGCCAAGGTGGGTTGCTGGTTCTCTGTCCTGAGGGCGGCCCGGGCACGGAGCCCAGGCCCCGTGTGAGGGAGGGACCGAGGGACTTGGCCAGCGCTTCCAGCGGGCTCTGGGCCGGCTTGTGAGGGGGCTTAGCGGTGGCAGGTCGGGCGCGCCTGGTGAACTGTATTTTGGAACAAAGCAGTGGGGGGTAGCGTGATTTGGGCGGTGCTGGTATTTTTCCACAAACTGCGGTTTTGTGGTCAAGGCCGCAGTTTCCCCCTTTAGCAGGGGTCTGCTTGTGCTGCCGGTTGGTCGCATGGAGCTCATGAGAGGCTTTTCTGTGTTTATAAGCCTGCACTGGCCCTTCATTGCACCCCCGAGTTCTAAATAAAAGAAATGGTAACTACATGAAAATCGAGTTGTTTTAGTGTGAGAGTCACATGGCGTTTTCAGGGTACTTCCTGTTACTTTCTGTGTTAACTTAAAGCTCTTGTTGCTCCAATAAAAACTTGAAATAAATTAACCTTTGGGAGTCCCCAAATACCTGGTTTTCCTCAGAAGTGAGGAAGATGGTTAAAGTTACTGAATAGGCTTTATGCTGTGCCTGAAGGGGTAAAGAAGCTTTTGTGGTGCTGAGGTATGAAGTAGGGTGTTTCTCCTTTTCTATGCTGTTTCTTTACCGACGGGAGGGCTTTAGGGTGGTGCTTCACAGCTATCAGGTCTCAACTCCCGTGCAGTAACCTTCACCTGTGTAACGCTCAGGTAAATGCAGGTGTGTTTCTTGAACAGGGTTCTTCAGTGACTGTCACTCAATAGGCATTATTGCAGAAGCAGCATAAATTAATTATTTTATTGCAGTATGTTTGTGGTGGGGGATTTTTTATTGTTTTGTTTTTCGTAGTAATGATTGTTCATTTTTCCTTTGATTGCAAAAGTGAATGTTGTATTTACTCTTACGTAACAGGGTCTCGTTCCTCAGGATAGTGATGTCGGTGACTGCAAAATTTTGTGTCCTGCTGGGCTTTAAATCTTTTTGAAGTGGCATTAAAGTGTTTTTTTGTTAAGTGAAGTATCTGGATGCAATTCATGAATGAAGACAAAAAAATACTTACGAAGAACAGACTATAAAATCCTAATTCTGCTTATTTAGTAGTAAGATAGTATCTTTGCTTGTTATTGTAAATACTTCTCACTAATATCTTCATATGTTCATTTTGTTTCAAGATAAAAGGTGTTCACAGATGTGTGCCTTGTCCTTCACAGCCATTTTTAATGTCTGCCCAGTGTCAAGTGGGGAGAGGAAGTGGTTGTTACATATAACTGTGTATAAGCATTTTTCCTTTTCTTTAGCTAGTTGGAAAATTTGCAGCCTGAGATTAAAAAACTAGCCGAGCGTCTTCGCTATGAAGTTTCTGTTCGTGGAAAGCAACTGGGTTGGTCTGAAAAGGTGGCCAGGTAGGATGACGATTGTATGTACCCTATAAATCAATTCCAGACTGAGGGGTAGTGGGAGGGAAAGTCCTACAAACAACACTCTTACAGATAAGATTCTGTTCTTGCCTAAAGCTTAGATTTTCATATTACTTCTATGATTTGTGTTTGTTATAGTATCCTTTAGAATATATCCATTTTAAAGCTCTGAACTTGTGATACGTTTATGATTACAGGGCCAAATCCAGGACTGGTTTTGTTGCTTTTACTTGTGGCTGAAGTTTACTTTAGTTAGCATGGTATCTAAATCTTGCTGGAACTTGAGGCTTGAATGGTTGTGGTACAGTTCATTTGTTAGTGTAGTACTGCATGCAGTGCAGTAGCAGTGTGTCTAAGCTGGGATACTGAAGGTAATGTAATGGGCTGATGGCCTCTATAATGAGAAGGTTATACTCTAGTTCAGACAAAAATCACCATGAAATACAATATCAGGCAAGTTACTGGTAGCTGCCAGTGACAAGGGGGAATTTTGTTGTGAAAAGCTGCTTATAGTAACAGGGCTAAAAGTTGTAAAGGAGGGGTGTTGGCAAAGGAGAGAGGCATGTTTTAAGAGGAAAGACTTTCAGGTTTTCCAGAATTACACCTAAAGAAGCCAGTTTGACATGCATAGACTGTAGAATTGTTATTTCAGAATTTGAGAAGTTTCTCTGTAACAGGTATTGTGAGATGACTCTTTTTTTTTTCTTTCTAAAAGGTTCCACTTTAAGAAAAACCTACGGAGGATTATTACAGAGCTGTACATTCGAGACAATTGCCATCCCTTCAAAGCCACTTTACTGGTGTGGGTACAGATTCCAATGTGGGTGTGCGTGTCTCTCGCTTTACGAAACTGCAGTGTTGGTGCCATAGGCTCGGAAGGTGATTAATCTGAACAGACACACTCTTTTAACAGTCATTTTTCATTCAGTTACTGTTTTTACAGACTCTTCATTGGTTAAAGAACACAGTCACCTGAGCTTGATGTATCAGCTGATAGAAAAATTACTCCACTACTAAGTTTTAAAACTTAATATAGTTTAAGCGTAGATAAAAATAAATACAAATTTCAAAGACTTTGATTAGTTACATTGTACATGTTGTACTAGATTAAACCACAGTTCATATAAGCGAAGAACTCACATCTGGACCATGCTTATATTTTTCTTTGGTTTGAACTCCTCCAGCAGGTATTTGCAGGATCCAGAGCATCAGTGATCATTGCTTATGCACTCCCATGATTTTTAATAGTGGGGTGAGCTTTGTGGGATGACTCTTTAAAAGCACTATCAGGGTCCATACTCTGGGAACAATGTGAATCATTTTGTTAGGCTGCATGAGTGTTTATTTTGTGGTCTTCTGAAGACAGGTTTACTAGGAAAACAAAAAGGTTGTCTTGGGATTTTTCTGGTTCACAAGATAAGCGTATTTCACAAGTAATATTACTCATACCACAGCACATTCACTGTCAATCTATTTTTTTCATCCATGTGAAGTTTCACGTGAACTACTGTAGGCAAGATGAATGTGTGGGGGGTTTTTAAATAAAAATACTGATTCTTTGATCCTTTAGAAAGGAGTTGGTAGCTTGTTCTAAACAAAAATATAACAAGTTATGTAGTTATAATGAAAAATTAATTATTTCAAAAATATGTAGTCACTGTAGGTTACTGCATTGCATATTTTCATCATTGGCTTGTAAAAAGGTGGTTGAGATCAAGGTAGTTTTCATCACAGGTTTACCTAAATCAGTGGCTGTCGTGAGCTACGCTGGATCTCGGCTTGTATCTCCCACCATTTTTGACTTGTATTGATAGCAGACTGCCTTGACACACAATCTGTTAAACCAGAGATTTCTGCTTTAATAGTATTTATCAGGTAGATTAAAAAAATGTACCTAGAAACTTGGCTGATTGATTGTAATCATTGTACGGTTCTGACTAACTTGAGGTAGCAAATTATACTTAATTCCGTGTTTTCTTTAAACTATTCATGTAGTTCAAGAACAGTTTTCAGCAGGCGGAGCATTGTGGTTTACAGACCTCACAGCACCAGATTCTACCTGGATTTTGCCAGTTTCGCTTGGGCTTGTGAATTTGCTGATAGTGGAGGTACGTTGGTGGAATGAATAGGATGATTGCAAAAGGGTAATTTTTTTTTACAGAATTGTAAGACAATATTACTGAGTTGTAAAATGTGGTAACATAAGGGTAGTTTCAGATTGTCACTGCTTTAAATGTATTGGGCAGAACTGAAAAATAATTTAATCGTTCTGTGTGTTTGTATGTGTGGACATCTTGTTTATAGAGGACAAATTCTGATGAGTATGCCTCAGACACTTTATTGGCTTTACTTGAGCCTCAGTAAAATTTAGCCTTGGTTGTGACGTTTCTCTTAGAATGACGTTCAAATGAGCTTTCTGTGTGTTAAACATCCAGAAGCACATGTCGGGTGGTTTGGTTTGTTCTACTCACCCCCCCATTTATTCATTAGAGCCTCGTGGTCAAAACGAACAATATTATGTGTTCTTAGTAAAATGAAAAAATCCAGACCTTTTTAAGATTTTTGGGGAGATTATTAAAAAGGAAAAAAGTCTTCAGTTCCTATTTTTGGGGGTAATTTAATGAAAATTTTTTTCTATCATTTTTCTGTTGGGTGTCCTCATCAAGCTCTTAACCTTTTGGATTTTTCCTATTGCATTTTCTTCTATGTCATATCTGACATAGATTGTCTTAGAGGAGTGTGTGACTGTAGACCCAATTCTGCTTTTGTTCAGTTACCTATCAGCTGCGTTTGGCCTGTGTCTTGTTGGCAGTCTTTCCTTAGCTGGCTGTGGTTCAGGCTGAGGTGTTGAAACTGATGGACGTGCGAAAGTTGCATTACCTTGCAATCATTATTAGCTACTCTGCTAGGTTAGTAAGGTATTTCCTACAAAGGACTGAACATGTAAAACGTCAAGCATGTTACATGAAAGATTGTAGCAGTATGTTGATTAAAATGGAGGATGTAAAAGGAAAGTCCTACACGAACAAGTGTTCTGTGTTACAGGAAAACTCTATACTGTTGCCTTTTGTCTCATTTTAGTAGTCTCAAAAAGAATTTATTTTTAACTGTGGGTTTCTCCGCTTTCAGATCTTTGATTCACAAAAAAAGGAAGTTTCCAGGTTCCAGAAGCTTGCTACAAATTTCTTTCGAGTGGTGTCGGTAGTAATGATCCCTGTTGCTTCAACAGTCCCCTCTGTAAGTACAGAGTCTGAATGGTGCATCCCATGACTCCAGTATGTTCCTAGGGCATAAAGAGCAGCCGAAATGCTTTCTGTATTTAGTAGATCACACTCTCTAATACAGTGTGCCCTAAAACATAAGGTGTTTTGTTTCTTTATACATTTAAATTCTTAACACATTTGGAATATTTTTGTCCAAGAGGGGTCTCCAAACTTACTGTTTCTAAACATCATTTTCACAAACTAGGGCTTGGAAGGACATTCAGAGGGGGTTAGCATCCTTTCAAAAATGAGAGGTAAATTTTATATAAGGACATACAGACAAAGGTTTGCTAAGTGATTGCTTGCTGTAAGAGGAAAACAGCATTATTTCTTAGATTAGGAAATTTTCCACAATCTTCTTAAAACACTTCTCATTTTTGCCAGGTGTCTACTTCTGAATATTTTTGCAGTGGTTAGCACAATAAAGCATCTAGTAGTTTGGCTGATCAACTTACAGTCTGAAATAGAGACATTTAAGCAAGTTTAATAGGAATTTATGTATAAGCTGTTGTCAGACTTAAGTGTAGATGACTCTTTTTCCTAGAAGAGTTGAAAAAGAGTGAAAAATACATTTAAAATGGAAGCCATTATTGTTATTGAGAGGAGTGGTTTTAGGTGAGTTATTTTTCTTGATAACTTGGAGTAACCAGTGGTTGTGGCTTGTGAAGAGCTGCCTAAAACTGTAGTGTTTTCATTGCACCTAGGGAGGCTGACCGCAGTACTTGTCTCATTGCAGTCCATGGCATTGTACTGGCTGTCCTCGAGCTTCATGGGACTTTCGCACAACCTGTTGCTGCGTTCTCCGACCTTTCGTCGACTGTGTTGCATACCAAGGACCAAATCTGACTCAGATACTCCTTACAAGGATATCGCGTCTGCCTTGACTACTAAATACAGTTTTAAGAAATGATGTCGTTTGAACTGTCAGAAGAGCTGTCCCACGAATGTTGCACGGGTAATTAAGTAGCACTATTTTATTGAGGTGTTCTTACTTACTGTGAAATGTTGCAGCTGGAATTATATTTATTTTCCAAATAAAGTATTAACTGTCTGGCCATAAATTGTTCTTGAGCACAAATGTATGTTTATTGTGAAGTTTTGTTTCAAGGATGGCCATATTTGCAGTTGGAATACTCCTGTAGTACAGGTTGTCTCCTGAATTATCATAAGGAATTATGCAGATGAATATTAAATAAAACTGTGACTCGCCTTGGCTGCCTTCTTCTCGCGAAGCTGATCTGACCTGTGGACTAGCAAACAAGTTTTGAGGTGAGGGAAAAGGCTGGATGGACTGATGCTGTAGTCATTAGGTTTTTTGAATTAAGATACTGGTGCAGATTGATTGGTAATCAGGTATAGTCATTTGATGTTTGATAGTCTTCACAGCAGTTCTGATAGCTGATTTTCTGTAATTGCTAAGTAAACTAGGTTGTTGTCACTCTCTTACGTGTTAGATTTGATGTTAGGAGGACAAGTTTCTTGTATTGTTTCTGGTGGTCACCTGCTGAGTGACAGCATTCTGGCTGCATGTACTAAAATGAGGCACGTAGCACCTTGAAAAAAGAATCAGTGGTGATAAATCCTAAATGTCAAGTGCAAATGTTTTATGCCTTTAAGGACCTTTGTATGATACTTTTTCATGTAAACATCAGTGTTGTTACATACAGGCACTTCCTGTAAGGGTATTCAGATTCAGATCTTGTCTTGCTCTGCATACACCTTAAGTCAGCAGACATATGTTGTGAATCTTTTGCACAGGAATATCCCTTTGCACAGAAGTCTGTGCAAGTCTGGTCTCGTAAAAGGTCGTCTTTTTTTCTTACAGAAGCAGAAATCTGGATAGAGGGCAAAGCATTGCTTGCATTCTTTGCTCTCAGACGGTCATCATAGTACAGAGTCAGGATGATGTCATGTTTTAACTGTTAGTGCCTATAAATCTTTGATAATAGGAAGTTATCTTTAAACTGGGATTTTTTTGTTATTAAACTAGCACTGGGAAAGACAGAAGGAGGTGCAATACCAGACAACTGCAGACAACAGTAACAAGCCAACAGTCACATGCCTTTGTTGTGGAAAGAATCTGTAGTCTTTCATTATTTCTTCTGTTAATCTGTTTCCTGTCACCCTGACCCATGAGAAAAAGATGGGGTTGAAGGAATTTATCAAGGTTTGGTGAGTAGATAGGGCAGTGATTTTTTTTCATAAATGTTTGGAACTAAATGTTCCTAATTTTCAGTCCTGATACCATGCTTCATATTGTCTTCTAGCAAATGTATTTTCACTAGAGGAATGCATGACACATTTTCTCACACTTGCTTGAGAAGCTTAAAAAAATTCCTATAAATTCTATTATGACATTTTATTTGAATTTAGTATTACCATACAGCTTCTAAAGAGATGGCCTTGCAAAGAGAGAGGGGAGATTCATCGCTCTTCAGTGGGAAATGGCAAAGGAGCTAGAACCAAAATCAGCTCAGGAGTGCACAGAGGAAGGATGAGAGTCAACGTGTACAAGTTGGGAGACAATTTCTCATTTTAACCTGCGCATGGGCCAACACCTGGTTTCCTGGAGGAAATGTGGGTATCTGCATCATCAGAGCTACTCAAAACACTACCTGGATGAGGCCCTGAGTCACCTGCTTCAATGGGTTGAAGCTGAGCAGGGTGTGGGACTAGACATGCCCAGAATTCCCTTTCTAGCTGGTGGTTCTGTGATTATATTAGTGTGTTATCTGCATAAGTATCACGGATTCTTAAAAACACCCTTTTTTGAGTATACAACTGGGAGCACGTTCAGTATTATGGATCTGTATTGCCAGTTACTGTACAGGTCCAGATGATAATGCAGTTTGTTCTTACTGGACATGTAATGCTGAATTTCTGACAGCATCCCATCCTAAAGAAGCAACAGACTTGATCGTGTACGTTCATGTCATATCGGGCTCAGTGATGCTTTTATCTACCTATTTTTTCTTACAAATCAGTGACTTGCACATTTTCTTTCACTTGTATGTACAGTTTGTTTAATAATATACTGCATTAATTTATGTAATTTTTAGGGAGGAGCAGCAATTGAAATTTTAATCTGCACTGCTGGAAAAGGTATAGTTCTGAATTGTAACTGTTGCTCAATATTGATTACTGTTTCCTTAAGACAAATGGCAAGCTTGCTACTCTAATAAGGTTTCTCTCCCCAAAAAGATTTCCTTCCCTTTTGAGATTTCAGTTGGAGGCTGTAGTCTCATTTGCACACATGTATGCAATTCTTTAAGTGCAGGAAAATAGGTTAGTTATTATAGTAAGGAGGTGCATGTGCAAGATTTTCAGTGTTGATATTTGGACATGTGTTTTGTCTTTAGTGCTGTAGAATGACTCATTTCACAATGCTGATACAAGGTCTGGTTGCATGTGAAAATGAGGCAACGAAGCTCAGTGAGATACAGTGCTCTTGATGTTGCTCACAAAATCATAGAAAGAGTGACTTTGTATTCTTTGTCACCTCAAATAGCATAGCAGGACTCAGTGAGTTACTAATCCTCCTACTGAAGCCAAAGGCAAGTTTTTCCTTGACTGTAATGGCAACAGGGAAAGATCTCAAGGGCACGGTTGATTTATTTTCTTATGTTTGGAGTCATTGGTCTCGTGAACTAAACATGTCAGGACAAGGCCCATCTTATTTCCAATGGATTTATAATTACTTCATGAATGTCCGATAAGGTAGATTGTGATTTTTTTTCTTTTTCTGAGCATTCAGGTGCTAAGTTTAGCAGTTGATTAAATGCACAACAAAATAATCAAAGTTAATAAAAACTCGAACGTAGATTTAATGGTAACTGGCCTCAGATAAATGTATTTAGAGTTTGAGTAAGGGTAAGAAAGGTCTGGAATGTCTTCAAATCTAACAAAAATCTTCTAACTAACCCAAACTCAGACTATTAGGACTAATAGGAAGGTGCTCAGGAGGTGAGTTAATCCACACTGATGTGTTACATGTTTCCTGCACCTGCACTTTGCTCTGAAGTACCTGGTTCTGGGTGTTGCTAGAGGCACCGGGGAGGATGACAGGACACAATTCGGGTACAGCTGGAGCCATCTGTGACAATTTTTGGCACGGAAATCTGGTAACATGCCACACCTGTAGTTTTACAAGTTGGAATTCTGCATGCTGATTCTGACCAGCTCCAGTGCTCTCTTTGACGGGTTAGTCACTTCTGTCTCATTTACTCCATCAGTTGAATTGCCAAGAACATGTAACCACATTTAGAAGATATTTGCATTTGTTGGGCTGAACTTTTGAGTTTGGAAAATAGTAATGAACTCTTACTAATGAACTCTTTTTTTTGTCCTTGCTTCTTCCTTTGTTAAGTAATCAAGACTGAGGTAGGAGGTTGGCATGAAATGTGTCTCACTTGTGCATCGTTGATCCCCAGTCTGTGTGGTAGAAGTCCAGAAAGATTGAAGCTATTTTATGGTGGTGACTTTTTTTTTCCTATTTTTTGTTTACTGTTTTTTCTGTGTTGGAGAAGAAATGTGTCTTGGTAATAAGCATATGAAGTCAACAAAATCCAGACTGTTCAAACTAAAACTGAAAAGAGAAAACCTGACACATTAAATACTATTTTTAAAAAGTAGATTGAAGTTGAAACTTTAATTATTCACCACCTGGCTTTTAGAAAGAATCTATTCTGGAGTACTTTGGCTGAGGACTTTAAAATTGGCCAACACCTGGTAAAATACATGCAAGGCATAGAACAGTTGATTATCTTTTTCATGGGATAGATGCTGTCACAGGTGAAACTGCTATTCTTCAGAAACACATAACGTAACAAGCACTATGGTATGTCACTGTGGAGAGCATAGCACAGCTCCTGATGCATAAAACTGACTTAACACAAAGAATTTATGAAGAGTGTTCTGTTCCTTTGAAATGTCAGGCAGGAGTGCTTAGTTTCAACTATCTGTTGTGAAGATGAGAATTTGCATTTACTTGGCAATTCAGGAAAGCAATTGTACTTGTAATTTAAGATATACTATGATAATAACTTTATTTCTTTTGAGATGTGTCCCTGAGAAGATTCTATTTGGAGTGGATTCCAAAGATAAATTTCACAGGGGTCTGGGTTTTGGTTTTCTGCAGGTCTGTAAGTTTCCCAGGAGCAAATAAACTGTACCATGTATCTTGTTTTGACTCTTCCAGATACCAGGGTGATAAAACTCTGTCTTAACAAGTTTAGCTGTGTTAAGAGTAAAGTTTCTAGCTTTTGCTGTGGTTTAGTGTTCTGTACATGCCAAGGTAAGAGGTGCATCTGTATATTTGGGTGGGAAGAAAAAGAGGAAATTCAGTTTTTCAGAACTCTGTTGGTTAAATGGAAAATTTTGATATGGTTACAAGTTGGCAATTCGTAGTTATTTCCTGAAATAGCCTGTCTCTAAAAATAAAGAATACTTGTTTTACGATTATCAAACATGCATAAAGGAACTGTTCCTCTTTGCCCATTACTGTTCACGTAGGCTAATGTTAGAGGATCCAGGCATTTTCAGAATCTTCTGTTTACTCAGAAATTTGACGTTTGTGCAATACCACTGCTTTATCTTTGACAGAAATGTTAGCAATTTTTTGTAAGACTTATTTTGTAGATGTCCTTCAAATAGAGGGGAGGAAAAAGTGGATAAAAGGAATGTTTGGGGGATTTTTATCTTTTTCACTCCCTTCATTCCGTGAATCTGGTGGTACACAAGGAATTTGTCACCAAAGAGAGCGCTGAGGAAAAGAACTACTTAAGGATGTTCTGCACAGTAGTCTTCCTTTCACTGCCTGACATAGAGCAGCAGATGAGAAAAACTAGGGCTGGTTTTATTTGTGGAACAGATGGAAACAGCAATAATTACAGAATGGAAGTTGTAGTTCTCCCATTAAGATAAAACACTGATAGCTTTTACTAGTATTTTTATTTCTGAATTATGTAGCCGTTGTCCAGGCATAATACAAGTTAGTATGATGCTGCAGTCCTAAATACAGATTATAGTTCCCATGTGTAGCTGCTCCCCTGCATGACAGTAGCTGCTGTAACTGATTTTGTATTGTGCTGATGGAAGAAGTGTCTTAACCTTTCAGTTTCTCTTACACTGGAGTAGACAGTCACTCAGATCCCAGAAATTTCTACGATGGATTAAATTAATGGTATCTGTCAAAATACTCCCTAACATCAAGTTTTCTGTAAAATAAAAACAAACTTCTAATTTATGTATCGTTTCTGAACTTGAGTCAGTAGATCCTGCTCCACAAATTCTTTACATTCTTTCAGTACAATCAGAAGCACTGGAATTTCTAAATGGTTTTTCCTAGCACTGCCAGAAAAAAGACCCCAAAAAGTAAAAATAAGAACCATAAATCCTGGGGATCTCTTGAGAACATTAAGCTGACCTTTAAACAGTAGCAGAAATAAGTAAAAGTCAGTAACTATTTCTACTCTGCCATACTACGATAGAGTAGTGGGGTTATTAAATAACATCCCAGGCATGAAAGGTGATTC